TTCCAATAAAAAGTATAATACATACGAGGCTTTTATCTTCGATAGAAGAAACGACACGAAACTTTTATCTTCCATAAAAAATTCACACACTAAATACCAAAAATGATAATCACCATTTTCTCCGAATTTTCTTCGTAAGATTGCAATGAAAATTGATCCCAAACATTCTGCAACACGTCAGCCTTTCTCCTCTTCAAGAACACCGACAAACACGCGGCGCTTCTGTTCGACAGCCGACAGGACGACAAATTTAAAACCCGAATCTTCGGATTGTTCCTCAAGGATCCCAACAGCAAATCGCAACCTGCGTTAAAAAATAAATATACACTAACTAAAAGTGTTTTTGGTAATATTCGAACAAAATGGTACGAAAGACAAAACTCCAAAAAAAATTATAATTCAGAAAATATCATACATCGAATAATACTGAATGAAAAAAAAAAAAACACAAAAGGTGTCGATAATTCTTATATATTTAAAATGTTTGAAAATAATACTAACCAACGTCACCTATGAGACATTGCGTCAACGATAAATTCATCAGCTTCTCGTTGTTGTTCAAACCAGAGCACAGGATGTTCAGGTACTTCGACGCCAGCGGAATTCCATCGAGAATGATCGAAGTTAGGGTCGAAGAGTCCCTCGTGGACACGGCGATCGAATCGACGAGGCAGCGTACCAGGAAATTCGTGTAGAAGACTGGCCATACTCGATCGTTTCCTTTGCATCGCCTGGACGTGTCATCGAATGCCAGTCTAGGATTTTAATCTCTTTCTTTCTGGCCTGTTTTTTTTTTCGGTAAATTTTTCTGTGTTGCGTGTCATCGTCTCAGTTGGTTGAAAGATTCTGTCCATTTTTTGCCTTCCTCTAGTTCACTCCACATTCTTTGATTTTATATTCCCTCGAAAATCGTAATGCTAGATCTCTCCATTTTTCGTTTAAATCTTTCCCTTCCTTTCCATCCATTCTTTCGTTGGCCCAGGCGACGCGACCTGCAAGCTTAAACTTTCTGCGAGTAGTATCCGAAAGGGAGACAAATTCTTGCGGCAATAGGAGGTGATAATGTAGCATTGGGAGTTCAAGCCTTTTGTGTAGCAATTTTAATTGAATGCGAGGGATAGAAGTGCTGAAGTATTTATTAGTGAAATTATTAGTAAGAGTGATCTAATGTTTTTGAGTCGAGAGATGTGAGATAAAGTGGAAAATTGTTTGATTTGTTGCAATTTTGGTAACTGAGTTGCGAATAGAGAAGGATATGAAATGAAGTGGAAGCCTAATTTTAGTAAGTTGAAAATTTGAAGGCAAAGAATTTTTTAGGTCTAAGGATACGAGATAAAATGGAAAATTTTTTAATTTGTTGCAATTTTGGTAACTGAGTTGCGAATAGAGAAGGATATGAAATGAAGTGGAAGCCTAATTTTAGTAAATTGAAAATTTGAAGACAAAGAATTTTTTAGGTCTAAGGATACGAGATAAAATGGAAAAATGTTTAATTTGTTGCAATTTTGGTAACTGAGTTGCGAATAGAGAAGGATATGAAATGAAGTGAAAGCCTAATTTTAGTAAATTGAAAATTTGAAGACAAAGAATTTTTTAGGTCTAAGGATATGAGATAAAATGGAAAATTTTTTAATTTGTTGCAATTTTGGTAACTGAGTTGCGAATAGAGAAGGATATGAAATGAAGTGGAAGTCTAATTTTAGTAAGTTGAAAATTTGAAGACAATGAATTTTTTAGGTCTAAGGATACGAGATAAAATGGAAAAATGTTTAATTTGTTGCAATTTTGGTAACTGAGTTGCGAATAGAAAAGGATATGAAAAATGAAGTGACAGTCTAATTTTAGTAAATTGAAAATTTGAAGGCAAAGAATTTTTTAGGTCTAAGGATATGAGATAAAATGGAAAATTTTTTAATTTGTTGCAATTTTGGTAACTGAGTTGCGAATAGAGAAGGATATGAAATGAAGTGGAAGTCTAATTTTAGTAAGTTGAAAATTTGAAGACAATGATGTCTTTAGGTCTAAAGATATGAGATAAAATGGAAAATTTTTTAATTTGTTGCAATTTTGGTAACTGAGTTGCGAATAGAAAAGGATATGAAAAATGAAGTGGAAGCCTAATTTTAGTAAGTTGAAAATTTGAAGACAAAGAATTTTTTAGGTCTAAGGATACGAGATAAAATGTAAAAATGTTTAATTTGTTGCAATTTTAGTAAGTAAGTT